ACTCTTTCCTTGAACGTTGTTTCCTGCTAATTTCCACCTAGCTGGCGAGAAAAGTCCTCGACCTCGTCGACCTCTCCACTCCAGTCCTCTGCCACAGAACCAGTCACCATGATCAAGCAACCTCACTTCCTTCTGGTGACCTTACCTTTACAAGGCCACGTAAATCCTTCCCTGCAATTCGCCAAGTGTCTAACGCTTATTGGTGCTCGTGTCACTCATGCTACCACTCTCTCTGCTCAACGCCGCATGTCGAAAACTCTGTTCCCTGATGGTTTGTCATTTGTTAATTTTTCGGATGGCTACGACGATGGGCTCAAGCCTGAAGATGACAGAGTGCATTACATGTCTGAGCTCAAACGTCGAGGCTTACAAGCTCTCAATGAACTCATCGTAGATAGTGCAAAAGAAGGAAAGCCCATCACTTGTTTGGTTTACACAGTACTTCTACCTTGGGCAGCGGAGGTGGCACGTGCACAACATCTCCCAGCAGCGTCTCTTTGGATTCAGCCTGCTACTGTCTTTGACATCTATTTCTACTACTTCAACGGTTATGGTGATATTTTCAGTAATTGCAAGGACACTTCTAATGTTATTGCATTACCATGGCTCCCACAATTTGCTAGCCGTGACCTTCCCTCGTTTTACTTCCTTCAAATACTAATACTGCGGCACTCCACTTGTTCCAAGAGCAACTGGAGCAGCTCAGCCAAGAAACCAACCCAAAAGTGCTTGTCAACTCTTTCGATGCATTGGAGTTGGGGGCTATGAATGCCACTGGAAATTTCAACTTGATTGGAATCGGGCCATTGATTCCATCTGCTTTCTTGGATGGAAAAGATCCGTTGGATAAATCCTTCGGAGGGGATCTTTTCCAAGGCTCCGAGGATTACATTGAATGGTTGAACTCGAAGCCAAAATCATCAGTGGTTTATGTATCTTTTGGAAGCATTTTGGTGTTATCAAACCGACAAATGGAAGAGATCTCTCGGGGTTTGGTACGGAGCGGTCTTCCATTCCTATGGATTATAAGGGATCAGAAAAAGAAGAAAGAGAAAGAAGAAGATGATGAATTGAGTGCCTGTAGAGAGGCAATATTGGAGAAACAAGGGATGGTGGTACCTTGTTGTTGTCAAGTGGAGGTCTTGTCTCATCCTTCGATTGGATGTTTTGTGACACATTGTGGGTGGAACTCGACTTTGGAGAGCTTAGTTTCGGGGGTTCCAGTTGTGGCATTTCCACACTGGATGGATCAAGGAACAAATGCCAAGCTGATTGAAGACGTGTGGAAGACAGGAGTGACGGTGGTAGCTAATGAAGAAGGGATAGTTGAAGGTGATGAGATTAAGAGGAGCTTGGATTTGGTCATGGCAGATGGAAAGACGGGAGAAGACTTCAGAAAGAACGCCAAGAAATGGAGAGATTTAGCCATAGAGGCTGTCAAAGACGGTGGTTCCTCGGATAAGAATCTAAAGGCTTTTGTGGATGAGGTTGGCAAGGGCTGCTTCTAGCTTGCCAAAGCCCTTCAGATCCACAATATGCCATATTTGCTTGGTTGATATGATGGATGGGTCCTTTCTAACTCTGCCCCGATTAAGTAAATGATTTGGTGACCAAACCTTGAGATACTGCGTGAATTAGTTAATCAAGAACAAAATAATGATGTAGCAGGCATGTCTTAAGTAAAAGTTCCCTCTCGAATGAAACAATTCAGTGAAAATTGTAAGCTCATTCTCCCTTCTAAAATAGCCAGTTTTCTTTCTTCCCACAACGTAAAAGGAAAAGAGAAGTTATCTGTCACTTCAAAAAACATTCGTAAATGCTATAGATCAAAAGAATCATCCAATACAAAAGCCAACTTCCAAACCAATCTTTTTTTGTTTGATGTAAGTTGGCAAATCTGTAAGCAAATATACCAAAATTACAACAGGATGCAGAAGCAGCATCAATACATGTGAAATCATGAGCCTAAATACATCCATAAACAGAAAAAATAACAGCTTCTTCTCAATAAATTAACAGCTCATTATCCCAGCGATAGCTCCAATTGAGGAGTTGATAATTCTCCACCTAGAGAAGTCTCAAATGAGCAGTATCATTCAAGCGTTTAATCTGCCAACCTGTTTTACATGAATGCTGTAACACTGTCACCGAAGAATCTTCTATGCAGATCTTACGCATCATTACTGGGCTGCACCCTAGGATGCCTGTGAGTAGACACTTAATAGGAATTGAATGCGTGAAAACACCCACACATGAAGATACTGGGGAGGATGAGTTCCTGATATTCAAATCATGGATCGTGTGTTGGTGGCTGGCTTCCCCGAGTGAGATCTCATCTTCACCCTCGTGATTGCCAGTAGTAGTCACAAATTGTAGCCTGCTCTTACCAGACTTTTTCCTTGCGAGGCCCTGTCGGTGCCTATGAAGCATATGCTGCATATCCCAATTTGAAGGTGGTGGTAGAGAAGGCCCATCTCTGTCATGAGAAAACCCATGGCTCTCATTTTGATGGGGCAGCAAGAAATCTGATCCCAACTTTTCAGGCATCCCCAGGACTGTCCTATTTAGGAACTGAACCATCCTAAATTCCACTTGCCTAATTGATTCTCCAGATGGTGCACAAAAGTCGGGCTGAAGATTTTCAAGCAGGCCCTGAACTTCAGGTGTATATATATCTGAAAGGGAGCAACCTTCCCAAAGCCCCATGTTCAAATCCATGAGTGCATCCGATGATTGTATTTGTTCCTCGGCAAAATTTATTTCCTGCAAGATTTTTATATCTGGACAATTCACTCCACTGTATAGCACAAGATGTAGGAAAATATTCCTAGTAATATCAAAGCAGCTCCTATCTATGCAAACAGATTATGAGGGGATATACAATCC